CCTTTCAAATCTTCGGGACACTCACAGAGTGGAGGAGACGTGAGCTTTGCAGCATTTCCGGTCACCCAGCTGTGGAAGTCTTTCAGGTTACAGTCGCAGAGCCACGGGTTGTTACTGAGGTCAAGCTTCCTGAGCTTTCCTAATGGGTCAAAAATATCTCCAGGAAGCGTCTGGAGGTTGTTGTGAGCAAGCTTGAGAGTGGCTAGTGATTGTAGCTTTTCAAACAGATCTTCATCCAGTGACTCTATCATGTTGTTCTGTAGATTCAGTTCTGTGAGCTTTTCTGGGCCTTCAAAGTATTCAGGGGACAAGGTGACGAATTTATTCTTCGACAGGTCCAGCTTCCTGATTTTCTTCAGAGGGCCAAAAACTCCTTTAGGGAGACTGGAGAGATTGTTTTGCTGGAGGCTTAATTCAGTCAATTTGGGCATTTCTCCAAACAGCACTGGTGGCAAACTTTTCAGCCTGTTGTTCTTCAGGGTCAGTGTTTTAAGCTGAGGGAAGCCAACAAAATACCCCTCAGGAAAAGTAGTTACAAGATTATTGTCCAGCAACAGTTTAGTCAGTTTGTTTTTATGAGGGAACAGATTGGGAGGAAATTCTTCTATCTGGTTTCCATGCAAGCTGATTTCCTTTAAGTTTGGTAAATTCTGAAACAAGTCTTCAGGAATGGTGGTCAGCTGATTCTCATAAAGTCGGAATGCCTCCAGCTTGTTTAGGTTGGAGAACCAGTGAGTTGACACAGCAGAGAGATTGTTTTTACCCAAATGGAGCATTAAAAGGTTGTCAAGACCGTCAAATGTCTCATCTTCAATCAACTTAATCTCATTCAAATTCAACAGGAGGTGTCTTAGTTTTTTAAGGCCTTCAAACAAACCTTTATCAAGTCTTTGAAGCTTGTTAGATTTGAGTACGAGTTCCTCCATGTTGCTGAGGTCGTTAAAGACTCCTACTGGGAGTGACGTTAATTTGCTGCCAGAGACCTCAATATTTTTCAGGTTTTTCAGTCCCTCGAACGCTCCCAGCTCGATGGATGATATGTTACTGTTTATGAACTCCACCTTTTCAAGCTGTGGGTTTTCAGCAAAGGCTCCTTTTGGTATTGTTGTAATATGGCTAACCAAAAAAAAGACTTCTGTCACTTTGGGTCTGAGAGAACGTGGGATTTCTGTAGCTGAGCTAAAAACTGCCTGGTTCTCTTTGGGGCAGTCAGTCGCCTTTTCACATGGTTGGGTTTCAGCCAGTGAAAAGTCAGGCATGAAAAGTAGAAAGAAAACGATGATCTCGCCTCTGGACATTTTTATTCACTAGAAAAAGAAAAATATATTTTTACCCTCATGCAAAATTTTCAAGAATTACATTTTGGTTTGTAATTTAGCATGATTTGTTTTTAATGCATCAAATTCAGACCTGCAATTTCTCTGGAAAATCTTTTTTTTTTTAAAACCTAGTCAAATATCAAAGAAAAGGGTACCTACCAGGTTATTTCTTTTGGAGGATGAAGCTCCAGCAAAAACGAGACACATGCGAGTTAGGTAATTATTACTGAGGCTCCAACAGGCTGTAAGTCTGTTGCATCTGAGGCGTGGCGCAGCACACTTCTGCAGCCCGAGATAAGAGCAAGGCATCAGTTTTTTAGTTACTGCACACGTCTACAGAGTGCATTCAAGATTGTGGAGTTTTTCTTTAACGTCATACATAGCTGTGTGATTAATGTTTAACACATGCTTAACACAATATTTCAGGCCAGTTAAAACGCACATGTGTTTGTTATTTTGGTTTTTTACTTCCTCACTGGAACAGCACGAAAAAATGCACAACATCATTTTTGATGAATTTGTTGCTTCCAGTTTGTAATCATAGGCAAGCTTCAGGTGGAACTTTTGGATTCCAGCTAAAGTATTTCAGACTTTATCGTGACTGTTTTCCATTAAATGGCAGTGTAATGGAAGGTACTGTGGATGTAGAATGGATTTTACCAAGAGGATAGTAGATGTAACTGGGTGTTTAACCCAGGGTATTGTGTTTTGGACTTCTTAGTTTAATTTGTTTTTCATCTCTTACATTACCTGGTTTGTTTTTATCGTCTGAGTCTCCCTCTGTTCTTTGCTGTGTCTTCCCTCGTAGCAGCGTGTCTCCCTGACACATGTTGTCCTTATATACCTGTACTCTGATTTCCAGTTCTTGCCCTGGAGAAGTTTTTGCTCTTTTGTTATTTCTGTGGATAGTCAGCATTACAGTTAGATTTTAAGTTTACTTATTGTTTTCTAAGTCCTCTGTTTGGGTCCACATCCTGCCTCCCACACAGCCGGACCTTGACAATGGTACTCATGCTGACACTCTGTACTTGGCTATTATGTGTGGATTTATGTGATTGAAGCGTGAGGCTTGCCTTGTTTCTTTTAATTTTACCATATTAAAATAAATGAATTAAAAAAAATTAGTGGGCAGCACGGTGGCACGGTGGTTAGCACTGTTGCTGCACAGCAAGAAGGTCCTGAGTTCAATTCCAACATCAGGCTGGGGTCTTTCTGTGTGGAGTTTGCATGTTCTCCCTGTGTTTGCGTGGGTTCCCTTACTCCGGCTTCCTCCCACAGTCCAAAGACATGCAACTTGTGGGGATAGGTTAATTGGATAACCCCAATTGCCACTAGGAGTGAATGTGAGTGCGACTGGTTGTCTGTCTCTGTGTGTTGGCCCTGCGACAGACTGGCGACCTGTCCGCGGTGTACCCTACCTCTTGCCCTATGACAGCTGGGATAGGCTCCAGCGCCCCCCACGACCCTGAAAAAGGATAAGCGGAAGCGAATGGATGGATGGATGGAAAAAAAAATTAGTACTCCTGGGTTGTTGTTTTTGTTACGTTTTATTAAATGTACAACCCACTATGTCAGTGTCATGCTGAAAACTTTCACGTGTTTAAAATCATTTTCACAAGAATTCAAATATGAAACAATGCATATATTTATATAAATAATGTCAGACTTGTCAAACCTAGTATGAATGGTGAAGCTCAGTAAATAAGAGAGTGTGCACATGCTCTCACTAGAAGTGTTGCATTTATTCAGGCTATTGAAGCGTGATGTATATTATAGTAGAAGAAGAAGAAGAAAGTGTACTTTATTGGTCCCCGTGGGGAAATCCCTCTCTGCATTTAACCCATTCACTCAGTGAAGCAGTGGGCAGCCACTGGGCGCCCAGGGAGCAGTGTGTAGGGACGGTACCTTGCTCAGGGGTACCTCAGGGTAGCTGTTCAGGGGAATCGAACCCCCGACCTTCCGATCATGGGGCCGCCACTCTACCTACTGAGCTATCCCTAGCCCCTAGTGAACTCCGTATTACATCTTTTGTATGTATATTGTAACGCTTTTGCAAAGAAGTTCAACTATTTGCTAAATGTTGGGTTGTTAGCACAAAATCAGCCATCAAGCTGCAACAATTGTTAATGAAAAACAGTCGTTGGGTGGTTAACTCAACAGGCGAAGCATGTTTCAGTTTACATTCACAAATATGTCCAGGTTGGCCAAAAGTTGTTAAGGCATTTGTTGTTACAGTTAGTATTTAAGATGGCATCTCTTTCCTCAAAGATGCACAGTCAGGAAGACACACTGAGGGGTAAATCTGATGAATAAAACTGAAAGGTAATGAACTCTCTGGTGCCTTTCAGGCTCAATTACCAACTCTCCAAAGTCGCCCTCTAAAAGTTCTTCGTGTGCTTTGTTTGAATTGCAGTCTACAGCACAGAGTTCGTACTCCTGCGGCCTATATTCCCCGTGCCACTCTTATTTCTCCTCCAGCAAATACAGCTGATAATTACAGTGCTGATGATGACAGTGCACACTACTGCGATGACAATTAGGGTGATTGAAATATCACGAGAAATGCTTCCAGTATTCCCTTGTCCACTCCTGGTTACCTTTTCATACTCTGAGGTGGGGGTCGTCTTGACAGCTGGTGAGGGAGTGCTTCTTTTGGCTGGAGGTGTATGTGGCCTCCTCCTCTTCTCTGTTGAGGTCAGCACGGGCTCCTGAGTAGAGCTGAGAGATACCAGGTTCTCATCTGCCAGCAAAGCAATCATCTCGCCATTCAGACTGGAAGGAGCGTCACAGACCACAAGGCTTTGGTTGGTCTTTGATGGGTGCTGCTTCAACCAGTCCCTAAGTGGCAGAATATCCTTGTCACACCTCCAGGGATTTTGCTGGAGGAGTACTTCCTCTGATGCAGTAAGGGTGTCTAAACTCTCCTGTGGTAGGTTAGGGAGGGAATTGTTTCGCAGGTCTATCTGTCCCAGGTGGGTCAGACCCTGGAGGAAACCACGTGGGAGGGATTTGATGAAGTTGTGTTCCAGAGAAATGTTGACCAGTCTTGGTAGCACCTGGAAAGTCCCAGCTTGCAGGGTCGTGATCAGATTGGTGTGCAGGGATACCTCTCCCAGCTGTTCCAATCCTCTAAATGCACTGGTGGATACATAACTAATCCGGTTACGACTGAGGACCAGGAGGCGTAACTGAGTCAGGTTCCTGAACGTGTCATCTTCCACACGACTCAGCTTGTTGTCATACAGCCACAGCTCCTTAAGGGCCGTGGGCCCAAACACCCTTGGCCCCAGAGTCTCCAGCTGGTTTTCATACAGGGAGATCTGGGAAAGATTTGGCACGTTTAGGAAGATCCCTTCTGGGAGAGATGTGATCTTGTTGTTGGAGAGAAACAGCTTCTGGAGTTTTGGAGTCTTGGAGAACAGGTCACGGTGGAGGTGAGTGATTTGGTTGTCTTGTAGTGACAGCTCTCCCAGGTTTACAAGGTCATCCAAAGTACCAACTTGAAGCTCCTGTAGCATGTTTCTATTAAGGCGTAAAGTTATGATCTGAGAAAGACCCTTAAAGGTTTCTCTTGATAGCTGGCTGACTTTGTTACCAGAAAGGGAAAGGTAGCTCAACTGTTTCAGTGGATGAAAAGTTTCCACAGGTACTGCAGTGAAAAGATTCCTACTAAGGTCAAGTCTTCTAAGCTCGGTCAACAGGGAAAACCACTGAGGCCGAAGTACTAAGAGGTTGTTGATGCTTAGTGTCAGAGCCTCAAGTTTCTGCAGATTTTTCAACAAGGCTTCTGGCAGATCCTGCAGTTGGGTACCAGTTAATGTTAAGGACCCGATATGTGGTGTTGAATTAAACGTGCCAGGGCGCACTTCCCTCAAAAGAGATTCTTTAATTAGCAACAAATCCAACGAATTCGTCATGTGTTCTGGCTCCAGAGAGTTAAAACTGCATTTTGAAAAATAGAGTTTGGTGGCAGATGACGGCAGCGGCATGGGGAAGTTTGACAGGCCAACGCATTGGACTGTGCTTCCTCTACATTGGCATCCATCCGGACACGCCCAGACAACACTGAGGGCCATGAGAAGTAGGAGTACAGGAAGTGTCGCTGGCAGCTCCATTATTGCCCTAAAATAGAAGAAACATATTTGTTGATTGGTTACATGCCAAAGTCACTAAACAAATCAGTGTGAGCCATGTTTGTTGCCATATTTAAGAAAAAGAAGTCTGGATACATTAAGATTGTGTACAACCTGTGGGGATTTTGCTTTATGTGGAAGGCCAGCAAGTGCTCATTAAAAGGAGTTGTTACACAAACGCTGTTATTTTTGCTTACGAAAGTAACTGAACTGCTCCACTTTGGATATTCATGAGGGAAAATGGACATTGTTGCATTTCTGGTGTGTTAACGCCACTGGACCTACTCTGAAATTTGATTTATTATTGCAAAACCTTTTTGCTTACAGGGCAGTAAAGAAAAGGATTTATTTATCTCCTCTCCATGTCAGATTGGGATTCTCTGCTCCCAGAACCATCACAATGATAGGAAAGTTCTACTGAATGCAGCTCTAATTAGTAACAGTGTCTTCATGTTGTAGCCTCTGAGTTTGTGTTTCGTCCAGGAAGCCGACATTTGCATAAATTAATCCAATGTTGCCCGTAGCTAGGAGCACTGCCCACCAACAGAACTGACTGCTAAATGCTTGGCAGGCCTCTGGCAGCAAAACCGTGTATGCAGCATTTGTGTTAAGCAGTAATTTTGAACCACTCATGCCTGAATAATTTGTTTTGCAAAAATTTTTGAACGTGAACACTGAATATTTGTTAGCAAATGAAATTCAGTGTTTTGTCCGCTTCTCAGCATGCCAGACTGCCTGCACAAGTTTGGAAGCTGAGCCGTTCTCACTGTTTGTAGAGGCACAGACGGCTCCTGGAACAAAACCTTGCCAGCATCATGACCTGCTTCTCCACACAAATTCACCAAATTCACAGTCCTGCAACTGAGGGCTGGCAAGCCTGAGTTGCTTCTCAGTAGATGAGATGTATTAGTTTGCAACAAGAGTGTCTCTCAGGAAGGAACTTTGTAAAGACAAAATAAAATATCCTTCAAACGAACTCAAAGGCATCAGATTTCTTAACTTCCTTCTTTTCTTTTTTTTTCATCAAAAGCAGGAGGTCATAAAATCCATGCTGGTCCATCCCAGCTGCTCACATTTTAACACATTTTTTCTGTTTTCATTAAAAGGTTGGAGAGGTGGTACTAGATTCCTGCTGTGAGGGTGAAGTCATTGTTTCCACTGCTATTACAATTTTATAACGTTTACATGATTTCTAGCCATACTAACATAATACCTCATTTAATTCCTCATAATTCTTATTTCTTTTAACTTTCCTATAAGAGACACCGAACAGTTTCATGATTATTTTCTTTTTCTTTCCTGCTGTGAATGTGGCCGGTCAGAGTTCAGACTTTAGTCATAGACGGGTTTCTAATTACCGAACTACTGAAAAATAAAATTTAGGTATCCGTGGAATACCCTTCCTTTTGTTATATGGGATCATTTTCGCCGTATTAAAAAGCAGAGGAGCCAGCAGGAGGGAGAAGAAAAGGTAAATTAACACCTAAACTATGTGTCATCTCTGGCAGACTTTATCCTCTCAGTCCAACCCAAACCCACTGTCATTTCGTCACTGGGACAGCCTGAAATGATCTGTATTGTAATATAATGGTTAAACCATTTCCAGTTCACCAGTAATTCCTTAGATGTTTTTCTCCCTTCGATAATTAAAGGCTCAGAACATTATGTTCTGTGAAAAGAGCGTAGGAGCAGAGCTGCAGAAGGCCATGCATGTTTTATTTAGCATGTTTTGATGAACACCGTAGCTGACATGACATAAAAAATACACTTTGTCATGTAATTCAAAACGTAACTCTTATAATAATGACATATTAAAAAGCTATTTGTTTTACACATGAAAACACATGACTATACAATGTATTATAAATTTAATATTTAAAAAATAACAAGAAGAAAAACTAACATTATATCTTATTCCACATTACTGTCACCGACTTCTTTATCTTGTTTGTTTCCTGTTACATTTACCTCAGAAATAAACTGGACACATCTTAAGTCTTAAGTAAATAAAAGTTAAAAAAAAAGAAAAAGTCAAATAAAGGAACAAAGTAGGCCAACGTGCTGTTTTGCTGAGCTTACCTCTCGTGCTGCGATCCCTGAACAGAGACAGTGAGTCGGTGTGGAGTTCTTTTATGTGCGTCCTCCCTTCCTCCTCAGTTTCACTAATCCTCTGAAAGTTTCCAGCACTGCCTGAACTTTCACACCATCACATTTTCCTGCTCTTCGTCATCAGTCAAATTTTATAAGTCAGCTTTTTTTCTCTCTGTCTCACACAAGAAATGTGTAGATCCTGTTTCTGAGCTTCCTGGCCGTCCCCCGTCCCCCAGCCCCCTCGGTGTCTCACACACACTCACCCTTTTTTTTCTAAATGTGGTGGAGGGGGATCAGACCAGCAGAAGCCCCACCCTCTGGTACCAGTCTGGGACTGAACTGATTTTGTGTTTATGTGGGTATTTAGTCTCTGTTTCATCTTAGCAAAGACACTTTTTTTAATGCCTCAAGCTTCTTTATTTAATGGACAAGGAAAGATGTATATGTGTGCTAGAGGTTACAGGAAGGGTGACAAGTGACTCTGGACAGAACAATGGAGATTGTTTTGTGTTTTTAGTTTGTGGCAATGTTGTTTGTGTGTCTGCTTGGGTGTGCAAAGTATGGTCTGCACATATCTTTGGAGTAACATTCATGGTATGCTTGTAAATGGATGGGTTTGGTTTCCCAAATCCACTTTTAGGGACAGACTGTGACACAATCCACCCACAAACACACTGAATGAGCGTTCACTCTCTCTGCTGTAACAAAAATGATACATTTTCTATTCACTTTCTTATTATTTTCATATCATAATGAAAGTCTCGTGCAGGTAAGTTCAGGAACAACTTTTAGCATTTAGTACATCTGGATAGAATTAAGCAACGAAGCTTTCCTTGCCTTTACAGCTTTTGCTCGTGTTGTGTGCATATTTCTCATGTGAGCCAAACACGCTATTACAAAACAGAGTGGAACGGTTTCTTTGATATCACAAACAGTAAAGGGAATTATTATGTGATTAAGCTTTAGTGCTAAATTTGTCTTGTTTTCTGGTTTTTAGGTGAAAAAGATGGCGCTGATCTGCCAGTGATATGCAGCTTTTAGCTTTTAAACTCTATCATACAGGAAACTACTGGAAACAGATAATGAGGGTGGAGCTCATCTAAAGGCAGATGTTGCTGCAGTGCACAAAACTGTCCTAAAAACTTTTATTGCAATATTGAAACATAAATAATTGTGTTTTATAACTGATTTGATTTACATGCCTCCGACATGAGAGCTATTGTATGTTTTTAGTTTTGCATATTTTACTATAAAGCAAATCTGTCCCACATTCTGTGTACAATAGCTTCTAAATTAGTATCCCAAAAGACTGCATGACAAGATAGCATTTTCTGTTCTTCTGTTCAAGGTGCTTTCTATTGTAAGGTAAAGACCCTGCAATAATAGAAAAATCCCATCAAATAGATGCAACTCTGTGAGAAAGTACTTGCAAAGAAAAAGAGGAAGATTGACAGGAAGAAACCTCTGGGACAGACAGGCTTAAACCCAGAGTTTAATAACCAATAACTAATGATTAAATGCAAAATGGTCTGAGTTTATTATCCTGTTAATTCTACAGTTTTCAGTAAAAGAGTTCAGGATAAAAAGAGTTTTCTGCTGGAAACCCATGGCATATGTTTATTATTGACATTTGATTAGTACTAGTATTAGTATTAGGTGCTCTTCACAGGTATGGGCGTGGCTGCCTAGTAGTCAGTGGCGTGTCTGATACCACTTACACTCACCTCGTTTCTCCTCTCTATTCCTCACTGGATTGTTGAACTAAAATTGTCATGTTGTAGTGAGACTGAACTCTCCTGATAGGTGAAGCATGTTTTCTTGTTCCTGAGTAAGATTACCCACTCACCGTGTTTTTGCACCTGCCTGTCTTACCTGTGGACAAAGCTGCCTGATCCACTCGCGTCCACAAAGAAACACTTATCTGGATTCAAGCCTGTGAAAGCTGGGGACACGTACCTGCACACCAGTTTGTGGAGAAACAGTAAATTCCTTCCCCCATGAGAGCCTGTGAGAACAAACAGGAAAACCAGCGCGCTCAGCTTCAATCCAGACAAACCAGCTTAATGGTGCTGAACCATAGAAATGTCAACTTATGAGTGAGGACCGGTATACAGTATTTAATGTTACGGAGCAGTTAGAAAAGCTTCAGCACTTGCCTTTCCTCAGCATTCAATTCAATTCAAGTTATTTATACAGCCTCAAATTGCCTCAAGGTGCTTTATTTTGTAAGGTAATCCTACAATAATACATACAGAGAAAAACCCAACAATCATACGACTGCCTATGAGCAAGCACTGTGATGACAGTGGGAAGGAAAAACTCCCTTTTAACAGGAAGAAACCTCCGGCAGGGGTGGAGCCATCTGCTGTGACTGGTTGGGGTGAGAGCATTTAAAGAAATGCTTTAAATGCACTATTACAAACTTACACATGTAACTGTGAGTGCTGAAGTTCTCAGTCATAAGACTGTAAGAACTTACCTGAGACTGCATCAATAAAATCAACTGACCAGAACATGCAATCTGTGACAACTGAAAACACTTAGCTGTGAGTTACAGAGCCATGTGAAGATACCAAGCTTTGAAATCCTTTCACAGATTTACAGACTGATCAAATGTTCACCTTATTATTTCAGTGAACTTCAGTGAACACATAATATATAAAAAAGAAGCCGGATTGAGCAGGGTTACAGTTATAGCGGCTCTTCTTTGTGATGTAACGAGTGCATGTTCTCTAGGGAGGATTTAGAAAGGAATATTAGGATATGTACATTCAGTATGACTCAACTTACAGCCTGTTTTTTTTTTTAAATAAACAGCTTATTATTAGGCTTAATCAAGAGCATTAAAATTCCACCCTGCAGCCAAGACTCTGGGAATTCCACATTTGCTCATGTTTTGGGAAATCCCTCCCAGCTGGCATTACGGTCAAAGTTAGAAGGTTAACATAGACAAATGAAAGATTCCTCCCAGAGCTATGAATCAACAGGTTTTTGTTTCTCTTCCTAAAGTCTTGTTTTCCACATTGGTCCAATATTTCTTGTGCCCCTGCAGTTTTCCTCTCCCCACGCTGACCCTGTGTATGTGCCCACTGTTGTGTGAGCTCAGCCTGCTGGAAAGTGCTAATCACCTGTTGTCATAGCAATGAACTTGGGCACTGCTCACCAATTCATCCTCTTTTGTTTGCTGCTTGGTTTAGCGTCCAATCACCTCTCGTGGAATTTGTGGCATCTGCCGTCATTTTTAGGGTTTAAAAGACTTGAAAAATTATTGTGACTCAGGCAAATATGGCCCCTTGTTTAGTCTCTACAGAACAATGTGTAATGTCCAACTGTGAGGACAAGCTGCTCACAAATGAAACTTTAAATGTACGAACTTCACCTTTAGTTATTTCCTTTCTCATGAAAAACATTTGTGTCAAAACTTCGGTAGAATTAAAGAGCGGCTATGTAATGAAACATGTTGCACAGTTATTAAAAAGGTAACTGGGCTGGATGTACGTTCACATTTTTGAGGTTATGACAGAGGCTTGTGAAATTACAGGGGCGTCATTTCATAAATGGATTCGTCATCTCAAAAGCTAAACATACTGACCTCGTGACATCACGGATAGATGTGTTTCCTGTTTTGAACATTGTTACAAAGATTAGGGCATAATCTTCCTGTAAAGATGTGTAATTCCTTCTGGGAAAGCACATTTCTGTAACATTCCTGAAAAGGAAGTCAAATCCAGATAACTAATAATGGTTGTTTACAGCAGCTGTTCGAATAACAGGTGCTGTGGGATTAAACAAGATACTCCAAAATCTTGACCACAATCTGCTCAATCGGTCAAATATTTAGCAGTTTGATCACAGGTTTAAGATTTTTAAAAAAAACACTTTAATCATTAATTTTCATGGCATAAAATACAAAAAATGACAGCATCACAGCTAACCCTAACCCAGCTTTTAAAAAAGGCCATTACATGAATGCCTTACAAAGAGAAATACACAACAGGCACTGGGTATATAAAGTGTAGCTCACAACAAATTCACAATAACAGAGATGTTGATCAAACAGATGACACACACAGCTTTAACATTTTGAAATAAACATCTGTAAATAACACAAATATAAAAGTAGACACTGTCCAGTCGTGCGCTTTCGTCTTGCAGTTTCAAGTATCCACCACTGGAGGGAAACAAATCACCTGCAGCTTTAACACTGACGTGTGTTATCTATAAGCTGCTGAAGCACTGCAGTCTTGGCATAGTAGATAAAACGTACATTTATAAATACAGCAGGCATCAGTGTGTATGACTCGAGACATGGTGAAAGCAAAAGACCAGTGGAAGAAACCAGGTTTTCACTTTATATGCTTGAAAAACAAACAGTGGTCAACAACAGGTGGATTCTTCAGTGGCTCTCTATGGCTTTAACAGAAACTGTATGACTATAGAATAAACAATGATATATGTATATAAGGCATTATACAATCCTCTCATTTTATCATTATTATCATAATTACACCACAATATTTTTTAAAGAGTTTGAATATGTGCATCATAGCATGAATCTTTTTACCAGTGTTGGGCACTTTTAATTTGAATAATTTGGACGTGAACAGACAGGACTTTAGCAGTCTGCATAGCTACCCAGTTTCAAAATAGGCCTAAAATCTTCCTATTTGATTGATGAGCATTCAAATATTTGCTCTGTATGCTGACTATTGACAGATATTAGTTTAGCTGTGATATAAAATTACACACAATACCATCTGAATGTACTTTTTTCTGAAAAACCCCACAGGGTTCAATTCAATCATATTTCAAAGTCTGATTTTCCTGAGGAAATGTGTTCAGAGAAAACAAACACAGTAATTGTCAGCCGGTAGAAGAGGATCGTTTATCTAGTTGTGCACCAGCCCGATAAGCCAGCGCTACGCCTCATGACGAGCACACTCAGCCTTTAGCTTATACGTGGCCTTGTGGAGGCGATACATGCCATACATGGTAGCAAGAATAAGCGACAACCCTGCAGCTAGAAGAAGGATGTGAGAGAACATGAGGAACCCAGCCAAAGCCGTGTTTGAGGGCAGAAACCACACATACACCCAGCCTTTCTGATGGTTATGGTGGACAAACTCAGGCCCCGGTTCTATCACCAATATGCCATAAAAAGGAGGTGACATGTTCTGAGCAAATTTACCAATAAGTTCAGTGGAAAGTGATGCTGAGAGTGTTGTATCATCTGATGTGGTTGCTTTTACAGTCTGAGTGGTTATTTTGTCAGGGACTTTTTGGGTAGCTCCTTGAGTGGTTTGGATCGCCGCTTCCTTGGATCGAGCAGCCGTTGTGGGGGGTGTGGTTATGGAAGTTAAAGCTGATGTTTGTCCAGAGGTTGACAACATGTGGAGTGGTTGTGTTGGTGACCGGTTCAAATCTTGTAGAGGAAAACTCTTGGCTGTTGTAGCACTGCAAAAGCTGAACTCTTCATCATGCAGCGAGCCAACGGTACGCAGCAGCTGGTAGATTGGAGTGTGACACATCACGTCATCTCTGTCCCAAAGCACATGCTCATTGTGTCTCATCCATCTTGCAATGCCTCTGATAGCACAATTACAATCCCAGGGGTTTCCACTCAGAGTCAGATTCATCAAAGCTGGAAGAGACACAAAAATATCTCCTGGAAGACTGCTGAGGTTGTTATTGTTCAATAAAATTTCAAGAATCTCTCCAAGACCCTTAAAGATATCTTCTGGTAGGCCATACAACTTATTGTCATTGAGGTGAAGTTTCTTCAGGGTGGTTAGTTTGGAGAATAGCTGGGGATGAAGATAATGGAGGTTGTTGGATTTTAGCGAGAGCTTCTGAAGGTTTGGAAGACAGCAGAAAACATCTGGTGGAAGGTCCCTCAGATTGTCATTTAAATGGAAGTTCAGCATAAGCAGCCCAGACATGTTAGCGAACAAATTTCCAGGAACCGTGATGAGGTTGGTGGCATATAGATAGAACTCTGTCATGTCGGGCATGTGACCCATCAGCTCATCTGGTAGAGATAATAGTGGATTCTTGTAAATGGTGAGTTTGACCAACTTTGGCATGTGGTAGAAGCTCTTTTCTGGGATGGCCTGAAGTTGGTTGGAGGATAAGGTCAGGTTTTTCAGGTTCCCCAGAGGCCAGAAGACTTTAGGTGGAAGGCTGGCAATCTGGTTTTGATGGAGTTTTAGCTCCACGAGGTTGATGAGTTTGTCAAAGATGCCAGCTTCTAGAAATTCTAGTTCATTGTAATAGAGTATAAGCTGCTGAAGTTTAGTCAAGGAGTGAAAGATGGTAGGAGGAAGCTTCTTTATGAAGTTCCTTCCAAGATTCAGAAAGGTGAGGTTGGTCAGTCCTTCAAATAGGTCTGAATCAAGACTCCTGAGTTTGTTGCGGCTTAGGTCCAGATCCTGCAACCCGCCCAGTCCTTCAAACATGTCTGGATGAATGTTCTCAAACTGGTTCCCATCTAGATGCAGCTGCTCAAGAGCAGCAAGTGGACTGAACACTCGAGGAGGAAGGGTCGACAGATCGTTAGATGACAGCTTGACAGACTTGAGCTGGGGAGCTACGAGGAAAGCCTGAGGGTGGACGGTGTGTAGATGACTCTTTATGAGACTGAAACGCAGCAGGAGGTCCAGATTTGCTAAACTTCGCTCATTTAGGACATTCATGTTTGTAACACTGAGCTGCAGCAGGTATGTGTGGAGAGGCAGAGGCGGTATATCAGTGATGGTGGAGCCAGTACACATGGCAGCGCCTTGAGGGTTGCATCGGCAACTGCTGGGGCAAGAACTGCTGTGGGTAAAGTCTGGAATCATAAAGAGCAAGAGCATCATCCACGTGGTGCCTGGGAAGTAAAAACAAAGCCAATGAGAGTCCACATTTTTCTTTATTTCGATTTTAATAACTCATTTTAGTCATTTTATCTGTATAAAAGAAAACTTCACCTCCTGAAGCCTGAGCCATTATAGCGTTTTGAACATGGAGCATTTATTGAACCTTCTGATATTTCAATTAAATGTTTATTTTCATATATATTTTTGCAATTTATTGCTTAAAATAAATTGTGCACTTGGGTTTTTCAGGGAGAAAAAACTGATGACTGAAGTCTCAAAAGCTTTCATCTATCAAATATGAGGCATTAAAGGCTTAAACTGAGTTAATGATGTAGTAACACAGTAATAATAGCAATCATAATGAAAATATTTTTAAAAAATTAAATTATGTTATTTCATAGATACATTTCAGAAGCACTGAACGTGGGGCGGAAAACCAACATAAGCATTTGACTAACCTCTGAAGTAAAGATCCATCACGGATTGTTTGCTCCCGTGCTGCCTGCTGCTCCTCTCTCTACTGCTGTGTTTAGAAGATGCGCACTCTCTGTCTGCCACGCTATCCAGCCCCTGCTTCACCAAGACGTCTGCCCCAGAGACATTATCTCATCCTTCATGCTGCTCAGGCCTTGAGATTAATTCTAGAGTTCAGGCTAGCAAGAAAACGTCAGCATTATGACTTTTGCTTTATTTACCGGCGCGTTGGACTCACTTTTCTGGATACTTACAAATGAATGTAAAACTGATGTCATCTTAGTCTTCAGAGCATTTCATGCACTTTGTTCAGTTTGACTTTCCCAATGTGCTACATTTGGTTGGCTATTTGTACATTCATGTTTCCTATGATATTTTCCGTTTGAAACCTGCCATCACAAATGTTGACTGACACAGAGGGTGCTGTTTCATTTCCTGTGTATGCAGCTCATGGGCTGGACAGAAACAGATAACGGCCATATCTGCAGCAGGAAAGTTTGGCCATTTTGTGCATGTACTGTATTGTTACTAAACTAATAAAAGCGAGTAAAGCATACTTGTGTTCACATTGGTAGATTAGTGGGTGAACTCTAATTGTGTTTTAATAATAATAATAATAACTTTATTTATAAAGTGCTTTCAAACAAAGTGCTGAACATCTCAAGTACAAGCATTTTCAGGTTTGAGCTCATAGACTCTGTCCTTCTGTACAACATTTCTGTAAAGTGTGAGGTTAACAGTCAAAATCACAGAGAGGGAAAACTGTGCAATGAGAGACTTTACCTTGGGACAGATGTTTTGTCCTGGCAGTCAATCAATCAATACTTTATTTATATAGCACATTTAAAAACCGGAGGTACATCAAAGTGCTTCTCAGTAATAAAATATGAAACAAAATTAATTGCGATGGGTACGATGGTAGAGTATAAATACATTCCCAGATAAAACAAAGCACTAATTAGCCCGGGAGTACTATGTTAAAACAAATATTTCACACTTAGTGTAAAAGTTCGGTAAAATCAACACAGAAATATCAACTGCAAAAACCCAGTAAAACAACAGGTTAAAATTACATACAAAATGTAATAAAAGTACAAAGTGTACAGCCGACAAATCACTAACTGAAAATGCAAGATCAAATAAATAAGTTTTCAGTGGTGTTTTAAAAGATTGAATAGATTCCGGCGCGCGAATATCAGCTGGAAGATTGTTCCAGAGGTTCGGTGCAGCAGCAAAGGCACGATCACCTCTGGTTTTCAGAGACCGAGGTTGCACCAAGGTCATTTGACTCCATGATAGAAGTGCCTTCCTAGGATACAGGCTGAGAAGTTCAGTTAAATAGCAAGGCGCAACATTACTTACGATTTTCCCTTACTGTACAATATAAAGCGCCTGTTGTTGTGATTTGGCGCTATATAAATAAAATTGAATTGAATGTAAGCAATAAAATCTTAAAATCAATCCGATATTTGATGCACAGTAAATTTCCCAGTGTTAAATCAGCAGTGTTAAAGTGTATTTACTCTAATAGAGTCATTATAACAACAGCTGGAGCAAAACGCCCCCAGTGTGGAGTTACTGTAGAAAGCTCCTGCCACCACATTTTCTTCAGGTCACTTACAGGGTAAGTTGTTCATATTCACTTATTAAACCAACAATTTGACATTTTAAACAGCATGTTAAAATAAGGTTACATTCCTTTTGTTACGGTTTGGAGGAGGACTCAAGCGCAGGACTCTGGTTCTGATGCTCACGAGAAGGGTTTATTTACAAGTCACCAGGTGTAGAGAATGTGCGGGGGTGGGGTGTTATATACAGCTGAGTGGGGGGAGAAGGGGTCTCCAGGGAAGTCCAGGGGAAAGCACGCGCTAGTGATGGCCCGCTTGAAGCTGACGGTCCGGTGCGTGTGTCACAAAAAGCTTGATTCGTTTGGCCAGAGTCACGTGATCAGTGACGTCCGAAGCTTCATTTAGAACCTAACCGCTTCGGTGTCTGATTCCCTGGTTTATAAGGAAGTGATTTGTGGAGTGTTTTGATGGTGACAGATAGCGAACCACTGATATTTCTACTGAGAGATTTGGAGCCAGTGAGGAATAGAGGAGGTTCTGTTGTGTGGGAGTATTTTGAGTTGATTTTGGTCGATCGGGTGGGTTTTCCAGCTTTGTGTTCTGGCTGTTTGGTTTTGTTTTGTGCGTGTTTATTTTATCTGAAAACGGGAAAAACTTAAAATGTCGAAAATCTGATTTTCATAATATAAATATCATTAAATAAGTTTAGAAAAACTTCCATTTGACTCTTTACATTTAATGTTATAAAAATATATCTTATTTTGTAATTAATCTTAAAACGTTAGTCTGCAAAATGTGCAGCAATTTAATTTATTTATTCTCTTTAGCTGATAGTTTGTGGGGCCCAGGTAGACTGTATAACTGCATCTCTACCAGTTTCTCTGCACTCCAGCCTCCTCTGTTACTTAAAACAACATGTAAATATTTCTATCCCTTCACATGTGCCATGTGAAGGGATTTTCCTTAATGCAGGAGAAATGATCTCCACGAAAATGAACAGGTTTGGCCATCGCACACTAGAACAAATTCTCTTCTTAAATAAAAATGAAAAAGGGTTACCTTAAATGCATCATGTTTTTAATTTGCAAGTTCATAAGCATTTTCCTTTTCCAGTTCACAATCAATTCTACCCCCAGGTCAAAAATATGTATAGGAAAATGTCCCTAATATAATATTATTTATAAATATGCCTGTCCGGCGATTAATTGCATAAGTACAAGGAGGCAGGACCTCACAGCAGAAACATACTCCATAATGTGTTGTACATTTTTATATGTATATTACATGTAGCGTGGTACTTTTCAATTATTGTATTTACCAACATCAAGAAGTCACAAGCAAAGAAAGACCACACCATGGTGCAT